TACATGCCTGTATTTAGACCTCTATAAATGCCCTTTGCCTCCTAGTTCTTTCCTCTATTTCCTTTTACTTTCCTCTTGTCCCACTATCTTGCTCAACCTTCATTTGGGTTTCAGTAATTTCTCTCAGTTACATTGCCCTTGCTGAATCCCTACCAGGCCTTTCACACCCTTCTTGCCACTAATTTTGAATCACTTGCTGCTCCCTTGTCCCTGGGTTGGTCAACACCACCTCCTTTTCCCAGCCTCCCCCTTTCTCATGTCCCCCGGAACCATCTGTCTCATTGTTTTCTCCTCCAAACTGTTCATCCAGCCCATCTTATCTAGATAAATCTGCATAGATAATAATATGCACCAAAAAACAAGGCATAGCAAGACAAAGTGACAAAAGAGAACACAATGATGACAACAAAAAAGAAAACCAATGACCCAGAAAATAAATTATTTTTTTTTAAAAACAGGAAAAAATTTTTTTTAATTTAAAAAATAAAGAAAAACCTGTAAATAGATCAAGGTCTGATTTATGACCTCTAGGTGTGTCCTCCAGTCAAGTCTGATGGAGTGCCATGCTCTGGCCCCACATGCTTCTTCTTGATCCAATTCCAACTCGACTTGGAACCATGGTTTCTGTTCAGTCTCATAGGTCTGCCTTACCTCAGTCCAGAAGAATCTGAATATTGTTTTAAAAGTCAATTAAAACATATGCTGACATAAATAATAAATAAATAGATAAATAAATAAATATCAAGCATATGCTAAAGGAAAGACGTCAGTCACAAAAGCACAAGTACTGTATGATCTCACATATATGATAATCTAGAACCGGTAAATGTATCAGCTTTTCTGAGTTTCTCTGAATGTTGATGAGGGGAGAAAAAAAAAGGTTGAATGACAATGAGCATAGCATCACCCAATTGTATATATAAAAAAAAAGTTCAAATGGCAAATATCTTGTTTTATATACTTTTACCATAATTTTTTGAATCAAGTTGTCTGAACAGAAAAAGCATGACCTTGTTTCCAGTTAAAAATTTTTGAAGATAAAACCCTTCAGGCCCAGCTTCATCACCTACCTACTGTGTGAACTTAGACAATCACCTCACATCTCCAGTGAACACCAGTGATGTTTCGTCACCTCTTTAGAATGCACGGGATCAGGCCTGCTTGACCTGCTTCCTAGAGATGCTGTGTTCAAGTGAAAAAAATGCAAGCCAGTGCTCTGTACACAGCAAGGAACTTTACGACTATGCTGTAAAGACAGTCGGGCAACTTACAGAAAGCAAGGGTAGCCTGCCCAAGGGTCTCATTCATTCTGCCACAAAACAGCAATGGAGAGAAACTGGCAGAGGTGCCATGACTTCTGAATCAAGGGCAGAGGTGCTATAAGGATTGGATGCAAAAGACTCTATTACATATTTCTTACATTTACTTTTATGTAAAAAGGCTAATAGATGATGTTTAAGGTAACCAACACCCTTCCTCATACATAGTCAACAGTTCCTTTAGGCACCTAAGGTCTGCTGAGAGGAGGAGGGGAGCCTAACTGTAGAAGGCTTGAGAGTTCATTAGCTATCCATATTCTGAGAGGCATTATGGTTCATCAGGTTGTTAAGTGGAAGCAGTCTTAACATTTTTTTTTAAGTTGCTTTCTTTTTTTTTTATTTCTTTTTTTTGTGAGTGAGTGAGAGTGAGACAGATAGAGAGTGAGACAGTGAGAGTGAGTCAGTGAGAGAGTGAGGCAGTGAGTGAGTGAGGCAGTGAGCGAGGTAGTGAGTGAGTGAGGCAGTGAGTGAGGCAGGGAGTGAGTGAGACAGTGAGAGTGAGACAGTGAGAGAGTGAGGCAGTGAGAGTGAGG